GCCGCGATCCCGCTTTTCCCGGCAGACCCGGCGGCACGGCGCGCAGCTGCTGGCCTCCATGCTCCACGGCATGGACGACAAGGACGATCCCAAGGATCTGCTGGCGCTGGAGGCCATGTCCGGCCTCTCCAAAATCCTGGATCACCTGGAGGAGCGGGACGTGCGATCCATGCTGCTCCACGTCGCCATCCGCATCCGGCCCTTCTTCGACAGCGTGAGGAGCCGGCCCGGAATTCCCGGAGCCGGGAATGGGCTTGGGCCGTGCTTTGGGCCCGGCTCCGGGGGTTTTCCCATCCCACATTTCTCCCTCGGGCTGGGATTTCTCCTGGATCCTCATCCGCGCTCCTGGGCTGGGCTGAGCCTCCCACTGGGATTGGTCGATTGGGCTTTTCCCATTGGGATTGTCCCATTGGGATTTTTCCATTGGGATTGGTCCATTGGGATTGTCCCATTGGGATTTTCCCACCGGGATTGTCCCGTTGGGATTTTTCCATTGGGATTGTCCCATTGGGATTGTCCCACTGGGATTGGCCCACTGGGATTGGTCCATTGGGATTGTCCCACTGGGATTGGCCCATTGGGATTTTTCCATTGGGATTGGCCCATTGGGATTGTCCCACTGGGATTGGCCCATTGGGATTGGTCCATTGGGATTGGTTCATTTGGATTGGTTCATTGGGATTGGTTCATTGGGATTGATTCATTGGGATTGTCGCATTGGGGTTTTTCCATTTGGATTGTCCCACTGAGATTTTTCCATTGGGATTGTCCCATTGGGATCGGGCCATTGGGATTTTTCCCATTGGAATTGTCTCGTTGGGATCGGGCCATTGGGATTTTTCCCATTGGAATTGTCTCGTTGGGATTGGCCCATTGGGATTTTCCCATTGGAATTGTCCCACTAAAATTGTCCCATTGGGATTGGTCCATTGGGTTTTTCCCATTGGGATTGGCCCCAGGCTTGGAGGACAAGGTTGTGATGGGTGGTGGGAAAAACGGGATGGAGATGTTGGAAAAAATGGGATGAGCGTGGGAACAGTAGGATAGGAATGGTGGGAAAAATGGGATAGGAA